GTTGTCCCATATATGCGACAAGTCAGTAAATACCTCTGCACAATAATTCAGTGCAGTGAGTGACTTTTTTTCCACCACAAATGCTGTGATGAAAAAACACAGCTACAGCTAACTTTGCTAGTTGCATCATGTCAACGGAGTTTACTTTTCTTTGAGCTACTTTTCTAAGTGACGAAAAAAGTTAGACGTTGTCCCCACCGTCTGTGAAAGCGAAGCGCTGCTGAGTTAGCTCTGGCCATCGGATTTCTTATGATTTATGCAGCGCTATTCTATTACTGACGATTAGACAAACATTCTCTGCCGCTGAGAGGAAACCACTGCGCATGTCCTGGAGCGCCACGCGAGTGAAAGGTGGGGAAGGGTAGGGTAACAGAAACACGTAGTTGCTTGGATTTTAATCGGTGCGTTTTGCATCCACTGAAAACAAAGATGTTAACAAATAAACTGGACAGTATGCTGCACGTTTAGTGGTATTTTCACAGTTGCCGTCTCGACTGGTCTTGAAATAAAATGCAGAGTCCTCAGCGACCGAGACCATCAAAAACCAAGACCGATCTCGAGTACTACAACACTGATGTGTCCATTGTCTTCTGTGACAATTTTGTTTTTAAGAACTAAAACTAGAAATGGCGGCTCTTTAAAAATGACAATGTCCTATATTATATAAAAAAAAATTCTTAGTTTTTTTCTTTTCAGAATATGACATTTGTGGTTAGGGTTAGGCAAAAATGGCTCTTTGGCTTGTGAAGATGCAGAGCTGTGACTAGACCCATTGGATCAATAAATAAGAACTTGATAAGACACATAACCTGATTTAATTCTGATTACGTAGAACTTATCTGCAGCCATAAACGGCCAGAATAATGTGGGATGCAGTGAAGAAACACAACATTCATATAAGAATTCCTTTCGATAGTGTCAAACCCTTTGCGAGCATTCAGATGGTCCAGAGTCAAGCTCTAAATGCTCCTTTATTTCTCAAAGTGTTCACTTTATTTTGTCTTAAACATCCTGACAATCCTTACAAAGCAAGTGTCAATCATTAATGAAAAACATACAACAGGTCTAGTGACATTAAAATAGACATAACCCTCATTAAAAATGAAAATAAATAGAACCTTTTGGTTTAATATCAAAGGAAACTTCTACAAAACGCCAACTTCCAAGTTTCCAAACTAAGAACTATACGTCTTCCTCATTTCTCCTCTAACAATTTCAGTATTTTCTATATCCGGTACATTCTCTAAAGCAGTGCCAGTTCAAAAAAAAGCACAATTTAAGGCACAGTTGGATCATTTGCAGCAAACTGTCACTGCAGCAAGCAAACACAAAATATGAAAACTATATGCACAATTTTACACAGCAAGAACTGAGTCTGATATTGTATTATCTGCATTAAAAACAAGTATCAGCTCATGTCATGTTTTAGGAATATAAAAGTGCAGCAAAAACAGGAGACTGGAAGCTTCCAATGCTTCAGATGCTTGCAGTGTGTGGGATACGTGGAGTTCAGGATCCTTCCATCAGAGTGTTGACATCATGGTTAAGGACGAGTCACACTGACTCTGGTGGAGCAGGAAGTTTAATCTAATCTAATCTAATCTAATCTAATCCTGTACTGTGAGTGTGGGTGAGGCGAGGAGTCAGGTGGTGCAGACTCCACCCCTTTGGGCAGTCAGATGGAGCTAAAGAAATGGAGTTTTTCCAACATGCTGGAACGCTGCTGTTGCATAATCTCAGGGTTTTCCTGCAGATGCACTCAGTCTGCTGACAGAAGCATCAGGATGTGTGCTCAGATCATCAGCCTCTCTCTCTCACACAGACACACACACACACTACGATGGAAAACTTGTGCTTCAGAAGGATTCCCATCTTCCAGTTGCCAGCATGGAGGCGGTGATAAACAGAAGTGAACAGTGACAGTGTTGCACTGAAAGCTTACATACATACATGACTCCACTGTGGCAATGAGCGATGGAAGAGAACAAAAATAACAATAAATACTCACTTTGCTTTGTTTTCAATTCTATGACACTTGAAATATAAAGTTGATGTTTTTAAAAACTCTGCACCACTGAACAGCTTGTGCTGCCGCCTCGCTGCGGGGCCACAGTTCTATGATACAGGGAGGGGCCCTCTCAGGAGAAGCCTGAGGAGTTGGGGCCCCCATGCTGCAGTGGGCAGGGAGCCGGGGTCTGGTGGAGGCTGGACGCTTTCAGGGGCGCACTGCAGCCCTGGGCCTGCGGGAAGCGCTGGTGGTACCGGTCCAGACGCAGATACTTGACTGTCACCAGCTTACCTGCAAGCAAACGCATCACTATAATACAGAGCCACACACACGCACACACAACTTAATGCATGTAACTCACCATCAAACCAGGAGCCATGCAGGGCTTTGAAGGCTTTTCCTGAGTGCTCTGCAGAAAGACACTTGACATAGACACAGCCCTGTGGAAACACACAGTCAGTGGAGGAGAACCACAGAACCAACCCACTTCAGAAACACAGAACCAACCCGACTCAATGACACCACACAGCTCACCTCTTTAGAGTTCTTATCAACAGAAATATGGACGATGCCGTCATTGTCACTGCATTTCTCCAGGATGGCTTCCTGAATGGCCAAATCCCAGCTGTCACCAACCTCCCTGCACGCACACGCACACGCACACACACACACACACTGAAAATCTGCACACAGGTTGGAGATGGAGAGCCTTCGGTAGTTCAATCATGGAGGTACTTACATGTCTGGATCAAACATGTTTCTGATCTTCAGACATGGAGTCAGACTGTTGGGCGGTGAATTCCTCCGATCTAGAGGGAATGCTGGGAAAAAATACGAACATGAGACCGGCATTCATTTCCTGGCTGTAAACCAGCTGCCTGCAGCAGTCTGCTGCAGCACTAAGACTTTGACAGAATCAGTCTGGCAGCTGCCCGTCTCTGCATGCTCTCCTATTATGCATCTCTACAGGAAATGACAACATGAGGGAAGGCAAACCCTGAGGTTTACAGGTTGATTCAAAATAACCATTTGTCCCTAGAGGGAAATGAATTGCTATTCTAACTGAGATCATTTAAGTCAGGGTTTTATCCAGAAAATTTGCTAAGCCTGTTGGTCGGGCCGCCGAGTTTTTGTATTAAAAAATGTTAAGTTAACAGGAAATGTCAAATATTACCAGGTAATTATGTTACTGGAAGACATTGTTGACAATGCTTAAACACACAACTATCGAATCTTAAAAGCAGCAAACAAAAAAATACAAAATATATAAATAAATAAATAGCAGGAGCAGCATGGTACCTTTCCCCTGCCACATCTTGGATTTGTCAGAGCTGAGGGGCGGCTGGATCCACCTCCACACCATGAAGTCTGCTCCCTTGATCTGCTGCGTCTCTGTCCGGATCCTGGACTCGTTAGCTGAGAGGAACTTCACGGCTCGCTCCCAAACCTTCTTCATCTTCCTCCTAAGGAGTAACTCGGTTAACCTGGTCTCTGGAGGCTGACGGACGCTTCCTGCTACTTTTGGAACTCACCTATCCTGGGGTTGAACCAGGGAGTCTCTGACATGGGGGATGGGCAGGTAAGGCTCTAGGTCCCGGTTCTCTTGGCATGCCTCACCGTGGGTCCTTAACACATCTGGACCACAACAGTTTACACTGATTTCTGCTTTTTGCTTCAAGTTGTGATGTGAAGTGTGCTGATCTTACCGATGATCCTCTCCACCATGTCATACATCTGCCTCGTCTCCTCCTCCTCTCTCCTCCAGCGATACTTCACGTAGCAGATCACACTGCACACCAAGCCTACAACTGCAGACATGACACTTTCATGTTAAGTTCACTCAGCAATACACCTGATACAAATAAGAATGTATTAAAATACAGGGTGGGGGCTAACCCCCCAGCTGTGGAAGCAGGAAATCTGTGAAGTAGGGCTGGACAATATAAGCGTTTCGTATCAGTCTATCGATAATTATTGATTAGTTTTGTTTTATATATGGAGCCAAGAGAGACAGCCGAGTGTGGCGATGAGGGAGGGGTTAGTGGACTGTGATCAGATTCACTACTGTCAGCTTATCCACTTTGTTGCTGTATTTATCAAATTTTCAGTCTCCTCTAAGGCCCCCTTTTTTTTTTTTTTTTTTTTTTTTTAAATAAGAGCTACTGACAAATCTAGAGAGTCTTTTTCTGTGTTGTTGGAGACTTTCATTGTGACATCACTGTGCAGCTTGGCTGCAACCTGTCTGTCCTGAGCTAGCAGCGAGAGCAGCCATTAGCCTCCATTAGCTTCTCCTCCTTCCTCAGTCTGGCAGTCATCAGTTCAATCAGTCTATCAGCAACAAAAATTGATTTGGGGGCGAGTTTCACGTTAAGAATCCTTCAATTAGATATTCACGTTCATGCTCTTATTTTGGAGAGGGTTATTTTGAGGAACAGTACTGTTTCCTCTCCTCATATTCTCCCACCTCCCCCCAATAACTAAAATAAGAAACATAAAGTAACAAAATAAAACAGACAGTACAGAACTGGTAGTACCGGTTATGTACTTACTGTTCAGTACAGAACAGTAAATAGAGCTTACTTAAAAATAAGTAGAGTTTTTGAGGGCTTTATAGAACCTATAAATTAAAATGTCAAAATTAAATTGGTGCTTGAAGGTTGCAGTCTGTCAACATAAGCCTTATTTAAGTCATTTAAAAAAGTTTGATAAAAAAAGGTTCATACTTTGGTACTGCCTCTAGTGGCGTAGGGGTGGTAACGCAGCTAATATAATTACATTACTAAATCAGAATACCGCAAAGTATTTTGCGGTGGGGGGGGAGGGCAGTGAATGCGCATATGAAACTGGGGGGTTTGGTACCTCAAAAAAGGTTAAGAACCACTGTCCTATAATATTCTTATATAACAATCCCAAAACATATAGTCCTCATGTTCTTTGGATGCGGGTCCAGCAAATGATGTTTATTCTGCACCCAGAATGCATCACTGTAGAATGACAGCATGTAGTTCTACAGTAAAAAATCTCCTGATGTCCAGTGTGCTTTCTGACCAAAGCTCTACTGTGATTAATAAGTATGAGTCATCAACAGTTAGTTAAATGTGTCAACATCATATTTTTTTCACAGATATCTGTGTGGTGTGTTGACATAAGCAGGTTATGCTTATAAGCAGGTGATTTTTCAAAATCAATCACACACACATAGAATATTGATGATGTTTTAAAGGACATTTCCACTTCTCATGGTCCCTGAATGCAACATCTGGGACCATGTTGTCCAGCTGTGGTAGTGAGCTGTCTGTCATGATCCCACACCCCACCACCCAAAACACAGCCAAAAGTATGAAAGTGGGGGGGGAAAAACAACATCTCAAACTAAAAAAATAAAAACCTTCAATCTGAAAAGCAGTTTTCAACATTTTAAGTTTCACATACTTCTTGTTTAGTTTCAAAAATGTTTTTCTCAGTTTGCAATCTTTTTCAGTTTCAAACTTTTTTTCTATTGAACAAACTTTATGGTCCCACTTTGGCTCCATATGTTGTTCCACATGTTTAATCATTGACACATGGTATGAAGACGGTTGAAGTTAGCGTTTTAGCACGAGCTTCCACTAAATATCATGTTGATATTAGTGGAACTAATATTTATGATTAGCACTTCAGGGTTATCATAGCTAGCTTATCGGTTAGCGGTCTGTACCGCTAACCGATTGTTCCAGATCTGATGTTACTTGGATAGCTTTGACCTTCACTACCCCTCCCAGAACTCCATGCGTTTGGGTACACTCACCAACGGCAACGACCAGGACTTTGTTCATGACTGTGAGCAAAGCTCGACGAAAGCGGCAGGTGAACGGCATCCTGGGATGCGTGGATTCCAACCAAGAGATCTCAGACACATCCATCACTAGGTCGTCAGCTAGCTCCCCGCTCAGCCTGGAAACACACAAGTTCATCACATGTTCACACCAAAAATACTTTATCTGTTCTGGTTTCAGTATGAAATGATTGCCTGTGAAGATATTGTTTCCATGGTTCCCAGAGCTTTATTTACAGATACAGGACATGTGTCACTTATAAGAGATTAAAGAACAGACCAGCTATACCTGACTGATGCATGTTGTACAGTAACAATCTCTCCTAGCAAAATTATTCATACCCCTGGCAGATTTAGATTAAAGCTTATTCTCATTCAACTAATAAGTTGGTTTCTAATAAGTAATGAGACCGGCATCTCTCAAAAGATAAAATAGTAATTTTTATGGCATTACCATCAGTTAAAATGATTAATCCTGGACTGGATTATTCTTGACTGAATCTCGGGTTGTGATCACTACCACATTCATTTGAGCGTAGCAGAGCTGCTGCTAACAGCAGTCCATCATCATTAGCAAAGGATGACGGTCTCCGTACGTCAGTACATTTTTCCAGAGAAAATATGATAGCCAACATGATGGATGAGGAACATAATGAAAAAACAAACATGGCCGCTCTTTATGTGAATAAGCTCAACATTTAGGTTATTTATTTTGAAATAGACAAAGGAGATGTTCATATCTATTATGCTGGAGCGGATACGTCTGCCTTTGTTTACATTTCACTTGGTGGCAAAAATAAATACCAGACTCTCTGACTTATGGAAAATTTGGGATTTTAATAGTCAATTAAATATTCGGTCCACACAGATGGAGGGAGAGGTTCCTTAAAAGCCCACTGCTAATAATAAGAATTCAATTTATTTATAATGTTCTTTATACCAAATTGAGATCTCAAAGGGCACATTCACACACCGATGGTGGTAAACTACTGGATTCTAGCCATGGCTGCCCTGGGGCAGTCTGTCAGAAGCCAGGCTGCAAACAATGAGTGCTGAGCAGGTATCATAACGCTTATACATTATATATAAGCTTATATATTCTTTTAAAACAACTTTAAACATCAACATACATTTATACCCACAAGCAGCCCATGACGGATAAAGATGAGTTGCTATAGCAACAGTCATGTGAACATTTCTCCCCATCCTCACCTTATACCGACATCCTGGCCAGCTCGGATGATCCACTCTAGAGAGACGTCGATGAAGTCTTTAAAGTCTCCATCCTGAGCCTTAAAAACACACACATTTAAAACCAAGACGATTGAGTCCATCCCAGGTCAAACTCTGATGGTTTCCAAATGTAAGCTTCTGATGTTCAACCAGAGCAAAATCTGACCCCAGGTCAGCGTCTGATTCATGTCACCTACCAGTAAATACTGTGTGACCTGCTCTCTGGACAGACTCCTGCTAGCATACTGCTGCTCTCCACAGTCATGATGACCTGTGAAGCAATACCAGAGTTACATCACTGAGTAACTGCTTATATTAGAGTACATTCTTTATAAGGAGTTCATATAGTAACAGCTGATGCTTATAGGAGGCAGTATGAGTCATGGTTAATAAATCCTAAACTGGAACTGAAAACTTTGTTCTGAACAGAACTCGGGATTCATGGGACATTATTGTTGTGGAGTCAAAGTGTTGGGACAGATCTTAAAACCATTGGCTGTCTGTGTGTTATGGAGCATGTGTTCATATGAAGCTCAAACTTAGCAATCAGTCCATATCTACCAGCAACGATGGCCAGGTGATCATGGAGGCTGAGCAGCAGCTTTAGGATCACGTCTTTTTCTGTCTTACTCTGAGGAAAGAAAAAAAAAAAAAAAAACACTTGGTTACCATAGCAGCCTTACCATACAGAACTTTGTAACATTAGCTCTGTACTAACATGCCTATGACACAAACTGATCCTGAACACCAGCAGTGTTGAGATTTGGAGCCAGAGGTTAAAAAAGCTCTTGGCTAGGTCAGCTGAAGGTGGCGGTGGTCTGACCAACCAGACGATTTTACACTCAGACACGTAAAAACAGTGCAATAGCAAAGCCTGCTTGAGCACAATGTTTGGTAGGATTCAATAAATCGGCCACGATTTCCTTAAGTTTGTCAGATCAGCGATCAATACTTGTATGAGAAACTGATCTGTGCTGGAAAATGAGTGAAAACCAGCCCTGCCATGACAGAGACCCCCCTTCCTCTCCCCAGGTCACGCCTCAACATGCTGTTAACGTCAGTCTATGAGGCAAACTGAACTACTACTCAGGTACTAAAGTTGCTGAGTTTACTAAGGCAAACTCAGCAACTTTGTCACCATATTTAGCAACTTTTCAGAAAACAAAGTCAGTCATGTTTTTTGAAGATCGGTAATCAGCCAGAAAACTGCAATCAGTGCAAACTGATGTGACTTTTTGTTGTGCATTCATAGTTTGCATATTAATATGTTTGTTATGTTTGACCAATCGGATGGACTTGCTGCCATTCACACATCTAATGTACATTTTTTTGTGGTAGGTCATATTTAATAAGTTAAAAACAAAACAAAAAAAAAACCAATCAAATATTAAAAGGTTAATCTTTACTTTTTAACATTGTGGATGTCTGAAGATGAATATATGTCATAAAGGAAGAAATTATACTTACATATGAGGAGTCAAAGTTGCTACCAAACGGGTGACTCTTAACTACAGCAAAGAGACAAGGATTAATGAAGATAAAAAGATGAAATCAAAAGTTAACCAGAACTATTTAAAATGTGTTCAGAATAAAAGCAACTCGTGTAAATGTTAATAGAAACTTTTTACACGACATGAAACGTCTGATCGCTAAGCTGGTGAGCCCAGATCCAGTCCAGCCTCCAGCTGCTCTCTCTGAGAGCCATCTAGTCCTCCTTCACATCATCAAAAGCTGATCAAAAGTCATTTTAAGATCAAATAAACACAAAAAGCAGTTTAAAAACGATGACTTTGTTAGGAAAAACCATCTGTCCAAACTATCCTGGTCCTGCAGGAAGACAGAATGACTCTCCTTGTTAGACATTTGGAGTTTAATTTCACCAGCTAGAGCCTGAAGCATCAATTCAACAGAATCTGAGAGACATAACCAACACCATCAACAAAGAGTCAACATTCAGATTTTACATTATGTCAAGATACAAGAACTTTCTACTCCGGATAAAGTGTTGCTGATGAAAACTTTACAGAAAGTCACTTTAAACGATGCTCATAAACCTGACAGAGAGGCAGAAGAAGAATCATTGGAAGAAGAGCTGAAGATTCCTCCAGTAAAGCCGCAGCAAGCAGCTATTAAGAGCTTTGTTAGATGTAAGCTACAAATCAGCCACACAATACAATACCAAACAGTGGACATATATTATATACAAGTTTCACTTTTGGAACTGAAAAAATACGGAAAAAGAAATTACTTTTAAGTATTCCTGTTGACCTGTATTTGTGGTATACTTCATAAATGTAAATGCCCTGCCTCGTGTAATAACTAAATTTTATTGTTGGATCTCCCCAGCTGATAGGAAAAATAAAAAGCTGCTGTGATTACTAACTGCAGCCAGTAATCCTGGTGTATTTTAAATTCAAATCTCTTTCACTCCAGCTAGTAATGTGTCCCTCTCTACCGGATGGAGATTGGCCAACATGAAACATTTTAGACACTTACTGACACCATCTCCCGCCGGGGATCCCGAGCCCCTCATGCGGATGTACATGAGGCCGAGCAGGAGGAAAAAGAGGCAGGCTGCGGTGAGCAGGAACATCGACAGGTAGTGTGCGCTGAAGCTTCCGGAGGAAGGTTGCTCCTCTCTTTTAAATTGCAGCAGCAGCTCATCCTCTGGGGCAGTCGGCTTCTTCTTCTGGGTTCCCGGGCCGTATGCGTGGTTCGGGACAGAGCTGTGATTAGAGTAGCCCCCCTGAGGGCTCAGGGTCGGGCTGTAGGAACCGCGGTAGCGCGGTCTCAGCGCGATGCTGGCCATGTTGCTGCCGGACGCCCCCTCCTCTCTGTTAATATGGTTGTTTTCCCCGGTCTTACTCTGGTGGTCCTCGCCGAGGGACAAGTAGATCGGCTTCCTGGGAAGCATGTGGCTCCGTAAGCCTCCCGATGCGTCCAGGTCTCCTTTCTTCCCCCTCTCCTCAAACTCCTCTCTGCCGCCTGCCATGGCTCTGTTCCCAAGCGGATTAAGCGCACAGTTTTTCCCTCCGATTCGGGACCCTCCGCCGTCTACATGCGAAGCAAACGGTCCGCTTGTGTAAATCCGTCGCAGCTCCAAACTCCTCCGGTCTCGCTCTGGGCCTCCAGGGCCCCCAACTTCCTCCTCGTCCGAGTCTGAGTACTCTCCGGCTAGTTTGCTTGTGTTCAGGCGAGCAGCGCTGCGACCATTAACCGGGTGGGAATTCTGTACTTCTTCATCACTAACGTCTTCGTCCCTGGATTCAGGATCATGCATATATCTTTTACCAGTTTCCCAACCCAGTGAGGCACTTGTCTGTCCGTCTGGGTTCGGGAATGAATTGCTTTTCAGAGCAGTCCCAACGCCATACTGCTTCTTGTTAGCCTCGTTAAGAGGCGTAGCTGCTCTAATCTTCAGCTGTTGTTGTTGAAGGTGTGGGCTTCGGCTGGGTCTTTTCATGTGATCCAGGCCCTTTCTTTTCAGTGGCGTTTCCGCGTCAGATTCGTCAGAGCTGAAGCCGAGAACAGAGGACTTTAGGCCCGGTCTCCTACCGGAGCTCAGGCGCCTGACGTCATGTTTAACTGGCCTTGGTGCCCCAGTGCTGCTGCTGCTGCTCGTCCCGCTGACTCGGCCTTTACCTCGCTGCTGCTGCTGCTGCTCCTCGCGAAACTTCTTCAGTTTCTTTAAATACACCGGACGTGTGTTTTCTGTGACTGGGCCAGGGGTGTAACCGAAGCACTTCAACTGGGAAAAGAGCTCTTCATCTGTTAACTGCGTCGACGCCATCTTTGGAGAGGAAAAAAATGTCTGAAAACGTTCTTTTTCTTCTTCTTCTTCTTTTGGTTTTATGGCGGTTGGCAAACAACTTATAGGTGCATTACCGCCACCTTCCAGACTGGAGTATAGATTAGATGTCCTACCACTATAATCTTCCCATAATACCTGACTTCCTAAGAAAACTAAAAATGCTGTTAAATACTACATCCTCAGACGATCTTTGCAGCAAATTTTTAATATCTAATTTATTTTTATTTCTATTTAACTCTTTGATTAACACCTCTCTTTCCTGACTATACTTATTACATTCTAGAAAAATATGCTGCACTGTTTCTGACTCTCCACAATAATTACACAAACCTGTACTATGTTTATTAATTATTTTCAAAGTACTGTTTAACCCTGTATGCCCAAACCTTAATCTGGATATAACATCCTCTTTTTTTATTCCTATTACCTTCCCTACATTCCCCTACTTTTTTTGAATTCTATAATAAAATCTTGCCTTTTCTTCTCTATCCCATAGTTCCTGCCATCTCTTTTTAATATATATTTTACTTATACTTTTGACCTCATTTTTGCTTATTTTGATATTTACCTCAACACTATCCGCCAACTCATGTCCTAGTATTCCAATATGAGCAGGAATCCACATTAACTTAACCCGAGATTCATATTTATTAATTCTAAAAATTTATTGATTAATATTCAATATGCTGAAAACGTTCTTCTTCGTTCGTTTCCTTATCAATTGCTGTCATCAACACAAAGCTGCATTACTGCCACCTACATTAGAATATATTCTATTTGATTAGTTACTTATGCTACTACTACTACTAATAATAATAATAATAAAATCAGCCAAAAGAGCCACCAGAAAGAAAAAAAAATCGTTCAATATTTATTTTGTGAGGATGTACAGTGCCCAAAATTCTTCACAACCCCTGATTTAGATTTAAAATTACTTTTATTCCATCAAAAATGTTTCCCTGCCCTCTCCATATTTAAAATGAGGCAGGGCTATCTGAAAAGATTGTTCCACAATTTAGAATGAGGATTCATAAGAAATATATAATTTGCATTTTAGTAAAATTGGCATCTCAATAATCAATGGAAAAAAATACTTAACATTACAGCAACTAGACCCTTCTTATAATGAGTGAATAGCTTTTTGTCTTTTTTCACTGGTACAATAATAATTTATCTTGAGGTTAAAAGAAATCTGTGCCATCATTCTAATCTTTACCTCGCTGCACATATTCTTGGTCAGACTGAAGTCATAATTCTGGGTGGGCCACTCTAAAAACTTTATATTACTTTCAGTCAGAAGAAAGAAGTTGGTTATTTCATTGTTTACTGCTGAAGAAAACAATGAAATAACCTGAGAAATAAAAGACTAAGTGTATTGCTAGAAGGAGCATATCTATATTTTCTACATATTTTAACACAGTTGCAAACAGGAGTTTAAATACATACAATGAAAATTCATACATCATTTTTCTCAATGTCTGAAGTTAAATCATACCTAACTTTTCTTGTTTGTATTTGGTTAGAATCAACTGAGTTATTCATTAAAAGCCATAATAATGGGAAAAAATATATATCAGAGGTGTATTTATTTTCAAAATCATAAGTTTACATGTAGAATGATTACCGTTTCTTTAAGCAATGCGGGAATACCCAGAAGGCACATTTGAGTTAATTGGAGCCACACGTGCAGCACTTTACTTTCTGGTTCGCAAGTCTATTCAAGAGAAATCAGCAGACATCTGGAAAAGAATCATGGAGTTGCATCAGTTTGGTTCATCCTTGGGAACTATTTCCAGATGCTTGAAGGTGATTCATTCATCCATTCATAGACATGATGAGAATGTCCAATCATCATATAACTTAGGAAGGTGACATGATCTGTGTCCCGGAGATGAACGAGTTTTGGTCCAACATGTGAAGATTGATCCAGAACAAAAACCAAAGACCTTGTGAAGAAGCTGCTGAATCTGGTAAGACAGAGCCATTAACCACAGTGAAACTGTCCTGCACCAAACCAGACTGAAAGGAACTCAGAGAAAAATAATCCATTACTCCAAAAGAAACAGTAAAAAGCCAGACTGAAATTTACAAATGTCCACAGGGACAAAGACCTTCATTTTTGGAGATATGTCCTCTGATCTGATGGGACTGAAGTGGAACTGTCTGACCATAATGACCATTGTTACATTTGAAGGAAACATGGGGATGGTTGTTGTCTGGAACACCATCCTAACTGAAGTATGGTGGTGGCAGCATCATGTTGTGGCGCTGCTTTGCTAGGAACTTGTGCACTTCATAAAATGCATCTTGAGGAAAGAACATTATGTAGTTGATGTCTACAGATGTCACATTGAAGTGACATCTGTAGACATCAACTATGAAGTCAAAGCCAGGGTACCAGATAGAGAATGACCTTCAGCTGGAGTGGCCCAAGGACAAGGTTGATGTTTTGACGAGACCATCACAAAGCCAGAGCAAGACTACCCACAAACCTGACCCAGTTTCACCAGTTCTGTCAGGAGGAATGGGTCAGAAATCCAGCAAACTAATGGGACAATCTGGAGGAAGGAACCCCGGTAAGGTTTAACCAAGGCAGTTAAAGGCAATACTAGCAAATACTGCACTGTACATTTTATACAGTTCATCTTAAAAGTATTCACAGCGCTTCACTTTGTCCTCATTTGTGATGTTACAGCCTTTGTTATATTGTTTTGCAAACCTCCTCTGATGAAGTAATAAGTGAAACAACCACCATCATGACAAAAAGACTCAAATATAAACATTACCTTGGAGGAATCAGAATTTATTAACTTTAATCCTAATGTAAGAAGCAATGTTTTGGATTTAAGAGTGCAAGACAAAAATACATAGGATGAGATTTCAGTCTTTCAGTTCATCTGATCCATGCTCCACATAACAGGAATACAGTCAAACAGTCATTGTTATATTCCTGGAAATGAAGCTTTGAGGTTGAGAAGGATTAACACATCACATGGTGCCAAGCAGAAAATTCCCAACTCATTCAGAGCAGACTCTGGTGAAGGATCTTCAAAGTCTGTTGTCTCCTGCTCGGAGCGTTTAAGGAGATCCTTTAGGAGAATGGCAGAACCAGCCTTTAGACACAAAATAATGCACGCTTCTTTCACACTGCAAAGACAAAAAGGAAGACGGGAAAAAAAACCAGTTACATCTGGTTCCACAAAAACATTTATCAAACAAAAACAAAGAAATCGATCTTTACCTTGACAAAAGTCTGAAATCAGTGGCTGATTTTCAGACAATCAGTGGCTGCTCTGCCATGAGACAGGGCTGACTGACAGACTCCTGACAGATCATGTCTGCAGTTAAAATCAGTCACCCCGCTGTTGCTAACTTAGCTGCTATATTTAGTAACTTTTCATACAAACAAACAAAAAAAAAAATACCATATCGGCAGGTCAGAGTTTTTAAAACTCGGTAATAGGGAAGAAAACTGCAATTGGTGAACCACTAGTATTTTTAGTAGGGCTGTATGATTCCAGGAAATTGCAACATTGACATCAGTTGTGATTAGCCCTCTTTCGTTAGCAATAATAACCGACTAAACAGACTCTGACAATTGTAGTCCCTCTTAATATTGCATCCATGTAGCCCTTTGCAACTGTGATATTAAACACACTGGTATTGACTGGTATTTTGCGATGACGGCAATTTAATGTATTGTGTAGCTCTAGTGTTTAATTGTCGTCATATCAGGAGGATCTCATGTTGGCCTTCTGCCCTTTTCCATCTCTGGATCCTGGTCAGTGGGACGTTGTGCTGCAGTAAAGCCGAGCCGCTGTCAAACACTTACTGTTTAAAGAAGTTCTCAGGTCTTCTGCAGTAATGGCCGAACAGAGGGAACAAGTTTCTGGTCATGTCAAACTGAAGCTGAGCTGCTCCACCATCACTGAAGTGATTAGACAAAATAACCTGGCAGACAGAAACATTTCATGAAATTACTGGCAGCACTTTATTGAAAAAGATGTTAACAGCTTCCCAACGGTGACAAACAGCTTTGACATCTTTCAGTCTGGTTTCCATGATTACCACAGTAATGAGACTTCCCTCATCAAAGTGTTCAATAACATCCACATAAACACAGACTATGGAAGAACCACAGTGCTGGTTCTGTGGGACCCATCTTATCTTATATTACTGAAGTGAATGGAAAGTTGGGTCAGACTCTCTAGTACTCAATTGGTTCTGATCTTACAGAAAAAACAGGGATTTATTTGTGTCAATAGGCAACTTCTGATTGAAGTCACGTGGTGTACCCCAAGGTTCAATCCTAGGACCACACTCATTCAATGTCTATATGTTCTACAGTCCTTCACTGAGATAATAGACTTTAAAATACTGTTAGTTTATGAAGATCTGCTGTTGTTGAATCAACCTTCCAGACCTCCCAGGTCTGCTGGTTCTGCTCTGCATCCAGAACCAGAACCAAACATGGAGAAGGAGCATTCAGCTTCTATGCACCACAAATCTGAAATGTGTGGTGCATAGAAGCACCACACATTTCTTCTGGAATAAACTTCCAGAAAACTGTATTTAAAGGAACACTGAGTTCCTTTAAATCAAGGGTAAAACCAACTTGATTAGAGTTGCTTGTAAAGTAATATTTCCTGGTTTACCACATGGTGTATTTATGACTTTGCATTTCTATAATGTAAAGCACTTTGAACTGCCTTGCTGCTGAATGGACTATAATAAAAAACTTGATTGTTATACGTTTCTGTGTGCCATACTGCCCCTCAAATAAGTGGCGTAAAATAACTGCATTGACAGTTCAATAGAATTTATTAAGAATTTTCAAATGTTTTGGGAAAGAAAACCATTCTTCAAGGCCAATGGACATAATCCTGATAAAACTAGATTACAACTCTTGGCTTCAAACATTTTCTTTTATGCAAAGAAGAAGCAACCAGCCTCTTTGTTCAGACAAGATGTCCCAGCCCAGCAGATAGCATAGAGTTCTGACCCAGACGTACAGCCTGCGGAGAGACAGACGGAACAGGATGTACAGTTGACCTGGAAACCAGGGCCCACGTCTACTGAGAGCAGACAAGACAACAGCCCTCTCCTCCACCTTGTGTCTCTCTGCTCACCTTTTGAAACTAATAAAGCTAAAGGTCTTGTGGGGTATGGCTCTGCCGGCTTTACAAATCTACACATTGACATCTTGGACTGTTGTTGTTTGCAAAAGTTTGTAATTTTCTCACAAGACGATCTGCACAGAGAGGACTTTTACTTTACGCTGTAATTTGTAGTCTC